AGAGAGAGAGAGAGAGAGAGAGAGAGAGAGAGAGAGAGAGAGAGAGAAAACATCACCACCAGCCCTCCAAGGTTAGATCAGATCTCTCTCTCTCCCACCAATGTCAGCAAGCCACTGTCAGTCAAAATTCATATTAGTGGTCCGCGGGATTTAAAATTATGAGTTTGGTGGTCTCTGAGGTCCAAAAGGTTGGTGACCCCCTGTCATAAGCAACTCAAGTCAGCACACATATATAATACTCCTTCCTATTTTCCCCCATCAGATGGGTTGGACTGAGGAGTGACTGGCCCCAAGTCACACCACCCGCTTTCTTTTTCTTTTTTAATAATAAATTTTATTGAATAAATATTAAAATGTTGGGCACAGTGTGACTTTCCTGGCATTTGTCTTTGTCATACATACTATAACATAAAACAGATAACGCTCTACTTATCTTACATCGCTAAGTTTATGCTATTAACATATTCATTTATATTTATATTTACAACATAGACTTCATTTATGTTATTCATATACAATCATTTTATCCACTATATTCTGTTGCATTTTATCTAAATATCTTCCACCTTCAATCCTATAAATCATCAATATTTTCTGTTCCGACTTCTTTTCCTCATGTCCAACCATTGGTACATTTTATTCCAAACTTCATGGCAGTCTGTCTCACCTTTCTCTTTAAGTTCTAACATCAGTCTGTCCATCTCTGCACAGACCAGTGTTTTCTTTATTATCTCACTTTCAGAGGGGATATTTCCATTTGTCCAATTATGGGCATAAACCAATCTTGCAGCAGTTATAACATGCATTAAATATATCAACCCTTGACCATATCTTCCACTATACTATAGTATATAGTATAGTATATATAGTATACAATTCCGCTATACCAAGGGTCTTCAAACTTGGCAAGTTTAAGACTTGTGGACTTCAACTCCCAGAATTCCTGAGCTAACATGACTGGAGGAGGAATTCTGGGAGTTGAAGTCCACAAGTCTTAAAGCTCTCAAGTTTGAAGACCCACTAAGGCAGGACTAGAACTCAGTGTCTCCTGGTTTCTAGGTCAACACTTTCATCTCTAAACCAAACCACCTCTCAATTTATTTTTTAAATTCAATTTGAAAAATACATTTTAAAACTTCAGATAAACCCTTCTTGCTTTCTCCTCAGTTATTACACCGAAAGTAAATTCCTCTTTCCTTGACTTCGTTATTAGGGCAGCGTATTATTTCCACTCCGCTAACTCAAAGCCCACGTCGCCAACGTGTCCCCCGCTCTCCGCATTTACACGAGTGGAGATACTCACCATATACGAGCAGGAAAAACCGAAGGAGCTAACAGAGAAGCGAATATTCAGAGGAGAATCCAAAGCCAGTCAGCCGATATTTGATTTAGTTTTAGCTCCCCCGCCCCCACAAAACCCCCACGTTCCTACAATGGCTTTCCAGACTCGTATATTAGGCTTCCCAGAACGTCACAGGCACTCTAAAGCATAAAAATCGACGAGTTTCCTCTAATATTGTACGAAATAGGAGAAAGTTATATTTTTTCGGGCTAAGTACGACTCTAGCAACATGCAAACCGTCCCCACCAACACCCGAGCCATTATCCGCTTGAAAGGCAAGCCACTTCCTTTGCTCCCGTTTAAGTCCGCCGGGTACGCGTGTCAGACCAATAAGCTCTCAGCCTGAAACACAGGTTTCCCTTCAGTTCCTGCTTTGTATAAGAACCATGAGTGTTATCTGCTCTTTCCTTTTTGAACTGTTAAGTTACAGCTATTTTTTTTTAACATGAAGGAGGACTTTAATTCTAAAAGTTAGGCTGACTATGGTGGGGTAGTGAAGGCAGAAGATCCGAAGCCGTGATTGCTATAATCATGATTTACTGCATGAATTGGATGAATGTAACCTCAGGAATCACAACTATTGGTTTGTTTATAAATGACCAGCACCGGGAATATATAACAATCACATAGTAAGATGCAATAACAACAAAAGGCCATTTTCGCTTTATAGGTAACTTAATCCAGAATGACAATCTATCAGGACTTTCTTATTACTTGGATGTCTTTATACATAACTTTTTACTTTGATTGCATACATATGGTACATAAAATGCCACTTATGGGCTACACTGTATATTATTTATAACTGTAAGATAACTTGAATTGTAACACATCAAATACATATTTTATGTGTATTATAATTATATCCTGCTTTTTTCAAACTTGGCAATTTTAAAACTTGTGGACTTCAACTCCCAGAATTCCTGAGCTAACATGACTGGAGGAGGAATTCTGGGAGTTGAAGTCCACAAGTCTTAAAGCTGTCAAGTTTGAAGACCAGATAGAAGACCATGCAAAAACCAGGAGCCAAAAAAAAAAAGCTTACAGAACATTCTCTCCTATAATCCCCCCATAAAAACTCTGAGATGAGACCTAAAGTCATCTTATTAAGCTTTCATTGCTAACAATAGATTTGAACATGTGTCCCGTCACTGCTAGTCCAACTCCTTAATTATGGACAATTTTGACTCAAATTTATAGACACAATGATTTAACAACTTTTCTTGTGTGCTTCCGAGACAGATTTCACACTGACAAAACTGTCATTTCAATCTCACCCAGATTTGCACTGAATACAAAAGTGTGAAAGATCCTTTATTTGAGGGAACAATAAAAAGAACTTATTTCAGTCGAAAAGGGCAGTGGTTGTTACTTAAAATTCTAGAAAATGAAAACATAACATTTATTGTTTGGCACTTTGAACAGTTAGTTTAAATAGTAAAAACATTTAATCTGTATAAATCAACAAAAATAGCATATTTCACATTATGTCTCAGATTAAATTATATTCCTTTTAATTATCTATCTGCTTTTTACTAAACATTTTCCCTTTGTTGTAAGTATAATTTTATCTTATTTGACATAGGGGTACTTTAATTGGCATTAAAGAAAAATGAGCAGAAAAAAAATGAAGCAAATATTTTTGCACAGCAGAGGAAGGATGTATACACATACCATAGTATTAATGATTACTTGGGTGACAGTTTACCAGGTTATTCCAATTCAACCTTGGATTATAAACTAAACACATTGGTTGTTTGTGCAGATCACTTTAACTATTTATTTGATGGGTTAATCTATAGTAGACTTAATTGGTTTCCTTAGGTATTCTGTATTGCATAATGATTTGAATCTTATGCAGACTGAATTTGCACAGGCTAGGCTAACATTTGCTAACCTTGCATATGATTCTGGTTCAGTATGTCCTGTAAAGATAGTTTGTCAACAGTGCTGTCTTGTAAAAATAAAAAGCTAGCTATAACCTATCCCTATTATTTATGGATTAATTCATACTTTGAAGTAATAGATTCCTGGACTGAGTGGGGGAGGAGTGTCTGATATTTCTCTTCCTTTTGAATTATTTTTAATAGAAATGATCCAGTTGTCTAATGACAATTGTTCAGAAATAGAGGATGTTTTTAGAAGAACAGATAATTTACAATTCTTGCCTTTGGCATGCTTTTCTAACTATTTGTGATCATACCTTTTTAGTAGTTTAAAAAAAGACAGATTTACATCTTACCTAGGTCTGACTCATTCAGGAATGTAAAAGGCCATTTACAAAGACATGTTGATCTAACATTTTTCATTCAATAAATAAAGATGTCTTTACACAATACAAACCACAACATCTAAACTAAAACCAAACACTTGTAATGTAACTTTACAGGGGACATGAGCAGCACATAAATTTAATAAATTGTATGACCAGGCTAAGTCCTAATTGATTCGTTTGTTTTAACTTTCTATTTTAACTACAGTCAGTAGTTAACCACCCAGTTTAATAGTAATAATAATTAAATGTTTTTGATGCTTGATTTCCAGTGACTCTGAAAGGTTTACAAATTGTTAAAAAAAATAAAAACAAAGAAACAATGCAAAAAACACAAAAGAAACCAAGATGGCAGACAAACGGGGACAAAGCAAGCTAGAAAAGTATGATTAAGGGTGCTATGCTGGAACTTACCATTTTATTTAACATTGTAGGTACAATACCTACGAACGGATCAAACTTTTTACCAGGTTTTTCTTAAGTAACAGACATTTCGTTAATTTCGAATGAGCAAAAATGTTTGATTTATCGAAAGCACATAGAGAATTGCAGGAAAAAAAATTAAAAACTTTATTATACTGTTTTCCATGGCTCATTTAGTTCCAAACTAAATCGACCAATGCAAATCCTTCCGGTATGCGCTTGGTTTATTATGGTTCAGGGAGTCACGCGAGCCCTGGACAATGAACCGAGTTATCCACGGATAACCGTGCTGCGAGAATAGACACACTACCGAGCAAGAACACCACAAGTCGTACCAATTGGAGATGAGCCGAGAACAAAGCGTGAAAGATATAGTTGCAGACCGAACTGAGCATAACTTAACGCTAACAGAATGATACACGCTCACGCATGCGTAAAAGAGAACGGGCGAATTCGAGCGAGCGTTCCGAAGAATCTTTGATAGGCGGTGCGCGTGCGGCTATTTTGTATGGCTTAGCAAGTGAGCGCGCGTGCGCTCCACCCTTGGCACGGGCAGGGCCAGGTGGGCGTGTTTCTTTCCCCTTAACGCCCCCCTTCGCGTGATAGCCCCTCCCCACTCCGGCCCTCGGCCGGTCCGGGCAGCCATTTTGGGCAGAGCTTTGTTATGATTCGGTCTGAGGAACTGAAGCTACGGAGAGAGTGAGGGGGCGAGTTGGGGCCTGGTTCTGTAAGCACGGCCTTGCGTGGAAAAAAAAAAAGAGAGAGAGAGAGAGAAGAGGAGCTGGACTTTAAGGAGGGAGTTGAGTGGCTGCCAGCGTCGGGGGAAGAAACTGAGGTAGGAAGGCAAGGCGAGTCCGGAGTAGGCAAAGGGGGCGGGAGTGTAAATAAGTGCTGCTTCGGGTGCAAGAATTGGGAGAGAGGAAGGAAGGAGGTGGCTGAAGGCCTTTTACATTGATCCGGTCGGTGAAAGAGTGGGTGGGTGGGTGGGGGAATTGTTGGGTGGGGGAGTGGGGAGACAGTGGCTGCGGGAAGCATTTGGGACGAGCGGGTGGAGGGAGAGATGCTGGACACGGGTTTGGGCAGGAGCGGGTGATAGGGAAGGGAAAGGAGTTTCGAGACCCAGTTTCCGTGAGAAATGGAGGCGGAGGAAGAGGAGGCTGGGGGTTTAGGAGGACGGGAGGCGTGGGGGTGCGAGAGAGCTTCGATTGGGCTGGAGAGGGTTGGTAGGCAGCCGCGGTAGGCCTCGAAGTGCAAACTTGAGTGGGATGGGGTGGTCTGGGCGTCTGAAGAGAGGAGACGAGAAAGAGGGTAGGGTATGCCTTGCAGGCAGGCGTGTGTGAGGGGCTTTTTTTTTATGGTGGAAGTGCCGCTGTAGGGAGGGAGGAAAACGGCAGCAACTTCGCGGTGTCGTCGAAAAGAGGGTCGGAAGCGGAGTAGGAAGTGAGAGTTTGGAAGGAGTCCTTGGGTGCCGAGGGGGGTAAACCTGGCTTCGCGAGGCAACCATTCCCTTTCGCGCGAGGGAGCAAAACAGGAAACGTTTAGGAAGGTGGTTTAACTCGGTTTTGTCACCTGTGAAACGGTTTTGGTTATTTTCGAAGCGCGCCCCACTTACTCAGAAAGTAATACCAATGGCATGGATTTCACGTCTGCCTTTTAATTAGAAATGTTTTCCTTTTCTGCAAAAAATATATATATTTTTTAAAGATACGTGAGTTTTATTTTTTGGTAAGAAAGAAGAAATTGACCTGTGCTCAACTAAACCATAGTTTTCTGAATGGATCTGCTTGCCTGTTGTGCACAGCACTAAACCAGAAGCTAACCATATAGGCTAGATTCACAGGACACACTTAGAACCAGAAAGTAGCCAATCACATTTTAACCAGTATATTGAGCTACTCCAGCTACTATTGCTAAAGTTTAAATAAGATTTTTGGTTAGGTAATCCTGAAGTCTTTGGTTACAAATACCTCTGTCAACTTGGAAAGCAGCATACTGTGTTTGGGGAAATGTGAAATGAATTTTGCATAGGAATTGGCTTTACAGTTTTTTATTTTACTGAATGATCACAGATGAGTTCACACAACATGCCACGTTCGAAGCAAACTCCATTTACAATCAATACTTTTGGAATACTAGTTACTGAGTAAGGTTTTAAGCATTTTGTTAACTCTTTACAGAATTTCTGTTTGAAAAAAATCTTGATAAATTTTAAACAGACTACAGACTGGAATACAGTTTGAACCATTGGACTGAATGTATTCATTTCAGACTAGAATTGAGATTGTGAATAGTTTCCTTCATGTAAACTGCTGCTAGATAACCAGAGTTGTTTTGGGCTACTATGAAGGCAAAGTATATTCAACATTTATTTTGATGATACAATGTCGAACAAGAATTTATTCACATTGCTGTCACACATGTGATTTAAGTCCAGGGAATGTTATATTTACACATGCTTGAGAAGAAAACTATTGCTATTATTTTAATACTAGATATAACACACAATAGATATATTGGGTTATATTATTACTTTATAAGTTGAGATTGACTTCTTTAGAGATTTTTTCAGATTGAATTGGTCACTAACTTAAAACTCTTCACTTTCTACTAACTAGGGATATTAATTAAAATATTTTATGATCCTATTAAGAAAAATGGAAAAAATGAAAGCCTGATAAAGTTGTATATTTGGACTGTAAATATTTGTAAACAACTTGAGTTACCCTCACTAATTGTATCTCTAAAATAATGTATATACATATTACATATTTGGCCTGGTTTAAAGTAGACTTTTCATAGTTTGGATGTAGCAAATCAAACCTTGTTTCAATTAGAGGCTTTACTTTCAATGATATCCCTATGTTATGTAATAACCTGCTTGTGGTTGGAGTTGTATTTCCACTATATTTGAACTGCTTAGTTAAAAATCTGGTCCAGAGGCGCTTTGTAGATTTTATGAATATTTGTGGGACTAATCTAAACAAGCTATGGTCTGATACAGGACCACCCAATTTTGGATCAGGAAAAATGTTCCTAGGCAATGATGTTTTATCATATAAACTTAAGATATATAGATAAGAATCCACTTTTTGTACACTAAAACAAATTTTAAAAATCATTATGAATTGTGTCATTTCTATTCATTAAGACATAGAGATTAAGGAGCTTTCCAACACTGGTTGATGAATCCATAACAATTTATGATTGAAGAATAATGGTAGACATATTTAGCCATAGAAAGCAGGTTAGTAGACAACTGCAGATATTCTTGTTAAAATACCATGTAATTGTTGTTATAATCTATGCTTATTAAAGTTCCCAACACCTGTATATATAGTCTTGTGGAAAACAAAACTGGACATCCCTTTACTTTCAATTTTTCTTTTTAAGTAGAGCATTAAACTTCTGAAGTAAATTAAGTATGTTTGTCCAGTGTATTCTTGTGCTTATCTCTTCAAGCAAAAAGTAGTAGTTTACCCAGTTAAGCATTTTTTTAATAATTTGGGTACATATGAACTACTCCTTTTCCTGTTTATTGTACATAGTAGTTGTAAAATGTTATTAGTTTCCAAAAAGGAAACTAAAGAAAATTGTGCTTTAAATTCTCTGTGACACCTATTAAGCAACAGTAAAGCTTCTGTTCAATTTGATTAAATTCATGCTTTTTTTGCACATACTTCATACTATTTCTCATAATTATGTAGTAGCCTGATTCCCTCTTCACAAACTATAAATTAAGTAAGCTATATATTGTTGTAATTAAGAAGTCAGAGTAAGATACATTTACATTTGGATCCTCATAGTGGAGTTCAAATGTTAAAATTTTATTTTAAAGGGACAGAAATGGAAATGTGACCTACAAATATCAAATGGTACCATTGATGTTCATGTGCTGGATGCTGCATGAAAATATAGCTCCTTTTTAACAATTACAATTTTTATCATTTATAATTGTTAGGCATAATTTAGTTGAGTTTTCAATTATTTTCCTAAATATAATAATTGGTTTAAATCTGAACTGATTATATTTTAGACTAATATGGCTCAAGATTGCTTACATTAAAAATTCAACGGAAACAATCAATATATAAAAATTAAATTACGCTATGTGAAGTACATAAAACACTGCAGCCCATTGACTGTTTGAAAATTCAGGTTTCCTTTCCTCCTAAAATAGAGTAGAGAGGGGGAAATGGATCTCTGGGCAAATATTCTGGAGAGCTAGAGCTGCAAAAGGGAAGACATAACTCTGGTGTCTAATAAGATGACATTGTTCAGCAGAAACAACCCAGAGTATGCCAATTCTGATAGATTTTACAGGATGGCAAAGGCAATTGAAGAAAAAGTTGTGAAGATATTCCAGATTTGTAGGCTATTTATGAAATACTAATTGTCTAAAGCATTTTCACTGGATGGTTTAAATAGCACTTGGAGCCAATAACTTATTTTAATGTGTCAGTAGTTAGATATATATTAGATAGTGAAATCAAATATAGATATACTGCTACAGTAGTAAAAGTGCAATATATTTTGAGATATCTTGCCATGGATAATTTCTACTCTGGGTAATCTTCTACATATTCCTAAAAGGTATTGTTCATCAATTTAATGCACTATTTCAAAGTTTTAATGAGAAAAATTCTTGGCCTTGATTTTCTTTAAAGAAAATTTCAGTCTTCAGTAAATGTTTAAAATTTTCTTCAGTTAATGGGATTATTTTGCCTTCTGGAAAATTCCCTCAGGGGATATCCTGGAATTGGCATTTTTGATGCTTGTTGTAAATTAGACATGTTCAACTGCTTGAAAAATACAGACTTCCCTCTTCTTTCTAGCTGCAAAAGAGACATAGTGCACAATAGCATACCAATTTTTGTTTCATTTTATGAATATGCTGAAAAAGAATATAGTGGGAAACTTCAAAATTGTAAGGTAGTTCTTTTGTTGATCTAGTGTTCACTGTATATTTTAACCAATTAATAAAAATACATTATAATTTCTTATCTAGGGAATTGGAATATAGTACTGAGAAAAGTAGTGGTATGTGTAGATAACAGATTTTAATGTCAAGATGTTGATCAACTGTTGATGTTTCAGAATAACTAATGCTAGAGGATTTGACAGTTGATTTATGGAATGATAAGATTTTAATAACTATGAACAGTTTTAGAACGTATATATGTTCAGAAGCATGGGCATAGAATTAGTAATGGTCCAATAAAAGGTCAGTTGAAGACCACATTAACAGATGTCATTGTACATTACAATTACAATTAACTTTACAATTAAATAAATACTATTTTGTATGTATTGGATATTTATATATCTTTTCAAGAATCCCACCTTAATAGGGTGATGAATTATTTGAAGTATATTAGTATTATAAACTAAGAATGGCATTTTAATTAAAACATTTTATCATCTAGATATAGGCTTAAGTGCTTCAGAGTCCCTTACTGTACAGTATTAGAAGACTTAGGTGTTTTTTCTTTTTGAAACAATTTTATTCTTTAGATAATCTGCAAATTTATAACAGCAAGACTGAGGATTATAAAATAATCTTTTCAGAATCACTGGAGAAAGTTCAGTTGGGTGGCTATTTAAGGATGTAGTGAAGGCAACAAAATAAACACTGGTGCCCTCACCATGCAATAGGTGTGTTCATTCTATCTTCTCCAATACTATACCCAAAATGGCTGTTTCAAAAGAGTATTATAGAAATAATAGCACACTTTTTTTAAAAAAATCTATTGACTCCTAATGATTGCCTGGACTGGCCCTTGCAGCTTAATGTCAGGTTTCCAAGTGATGAAATCCATTTAAAAAGAAAAGAGCAAA